CTGGGTAATTTATAATGAGAAATTATTGACTCACAGTTCTGGAGGCTGGGAAGTCAAAGATGGCGGATTCATATCGGTAAGGGACTTCTTGCTGCCTCATAACATGGTGGAAGATGTCACATGGGTGGGAGAGAGAGCAAGAAGGGTCCGAACTCATCCTTTTAAAATGAACCCACTTCCGGGGCCATTAATCCCTTCATGAGGGCAGAATTCTCATAGCCTAGTCTCCACTTAAAGGTTCCACCTCCTGTTACAACAGGGATTATCTTTCCAACACACGCTTTTTGGGGGACACATTGAAACCATAGCTCATAGTTAGCATCTAGTTTTTGGGTTTTGTTTTAACTCAATCAGTTTATGAGATCTTCCCGTTTTCATACATAGAAATTGAACTCATTCCTCTTAGCTGCTATATAGTACATTTTATTTAGCCATTTCCTTATGGATCAGCAGAAAAAAAGGTCCTATGTACTCTTTATTTGAACTTACTAAAGGAGGGAGGTGAGGAGATGACATTGAGAGGAAGAAATCTTCTCAAAGGACAGGATGAGTGGCACTTCCTAAAAGAAGAAAGCAAGTTCAGTCCCTCGTACCTGCAGAAAGGTGACCGGGGGAGTCAGTCCAGACCTGAGCAGGGACTCCCAGTTTAGAACCTAAGACATAAGCAAGTCAAGACAAGTGTCCTCTCTTTCTCTCCACACCAAGTTCTGGTTCTCAAAATGTCTCTGCATGGTTCTGTTTTTCTTTCTGTTACCATCATAACTTAGGAATTCATCCCCTTACCATGACATTAGCTTCTTGGCCTCTATCCAGTTTCTTTTCCTTCTAATCCATCCAATATACCACTGCCAAATGAGTCCTTCAAAAACAACTCCACATAGTCACCTCCTCTGTTAAAACTTTCAAAAGTGCCTTGTTGGGCCCTACTCATATTTCTCTTTTGGCCTTCCATAGCTCACAACTTCAATGCCCTTAGTCCTTCTCATCTCTTATCAAATTCCTCCCTGTCCTTCAAGTCCTACTTCCTCTGGGATTCTTCCCCTGGGATCCGTGATCACCACATATTCAAACACTCAACAAAATTTATTGAGTGCTACCAAGTACCAGGCATCATGCAAAGGCCTGAAGTTCTGGCATGCGCCTGTAAATAACAAAGCACTAAAGGCTATAGATATACTGCGCTATGATTTCCTGTTAATTTACCAGGGCATGCTTTGTTAAATTTCTGCCTCATAGTTACGACAAACAGTGACTTCTGGGTATTGAAAAGCTTCAAAGTAATCTAAGAAAGCATCGCACAGCTATAGGTTTTATTTATTAGTATGTAGAGGTGATCTGAATGCAGGAATACATGTGCGTTGTACAGGATACCTGCAACATGACCACTAGATGTCGTTACTGACAACACAAAAGTTAAAGCTCGAGCTCCACGTCAGGACTGCTTTAAAGAACACTGCCAAACTTAAGAATAAGAAGAATATGAAAACGCTTTTATAGATGAGTCCTTTAAAAATCCAGAGGAGTCGCTTTGGAGACCTGTGTGTGCAGGAAAGTAGCCCAGCGCCATGGACACAATTAATAGTGAAGTACTTCTTATATCCTTCTAGAACAGCCGTCAGCAACTTACTGGTCAGCAGCATGAGGAGAAAATCAGAGGATCTTAGAATTGGAAGGGAGCTTATTTGTCCATTGATTTTCAGATCTCTGTTCCCTGGAGTTAGAAATACAGTCTATATCACAACTCAGCATGTGCACATGCACACACATACACACACAGATATAGCTTTCATATATACGTGTGTGCGTATATATATATATATATATATACATATATATAATTAGAGAGAGAGAGTATAAACCAGTTTCAAAAAAAATGCCCTTACTGTGTACAATGTACTTTGATTTTTTAATGTATTCTACATCATTTAACAAATACTGGTGATAAACCAATACACTGATTTTACTTACTCTAAAACACTTCCTTAACATGAGTATATCAGAAAACAGAGGCTCAGAGAGGTGCAGTGACTTGCCCTAGGTAACACAGTAGCCAGGACTCAAAGCTTTGCAGGACACCGGCAGGTTTTATTTTGGAAGGCCCTTGGCAAAAATTTTAAAGTGTCCTTGGCACCTGCCCCCCAATCTCCTCCTGTGCTCCTCTACCTTCTACATCCTGTGGCAGGTACACTTTGGTGAAAAAAACCACACACACAAAGTGTATATGTGATCAGTCATATGTAGCAGTCGTTTAAAAAATACAGGTTCTTTCTAAAACGCACATGTGATCGATCACTTTAACTTCTCTCCTCGAATCCCTTATGGTTTTCAGGCTGAATACAAATGTTCAGCGTGGCAATAAAGGCTCTTCCAGACCTGGCCCCCACCCTGCTAGCCAGCTTCATTCTTCACCAATTTTCCATATGTACCTTTGAGGTTTTTCCTCTACCCTTGACCTGGCTAAATCATAAGCTTCTCAAGACTCAACTCCCCTTCCTCTTCTGCAAAGCCTTCCTCGACACGTCTCCCCACTCGTCTGCTACAGTCTATACCCTACTGGCCCCATGTCTTCCTCCTGGCCCCTCTTCTCCACGGGACTGTGACATTCTCATGAGGCAGCATCATGCCTGCCCATTTGCTGTCAGTGGCTCTCTGTGGCCTACTGCTTGGCAAGTAAGAGGAACTTGATAAATATCTGCTGAAGTGAATATTTTCATATTCTTACTCTCAAATTTTAATCCTTAAAAAAAAACAAAACTTCTTTGGAACATCAGCTCTCTAAGTAAGAGCTGGTTTTGAAAATGCATAGCTCCATTTCCTAGTATCTTGAGAGTATGAATAAAAACCACTATACCTATCAGGGAGAATAGATGTGAAAACCTAGTTTTTACCTTTTTCCTTTTGAGTTTCATAAGTTTTTGTTGGGGTTAAGGTTAACTTTTTTTTTTTACGTCTAGCTTGCAGGCTAGTACCCACTGGCCAACTCAGCTGCTATTTCTGCTAAGAGCTCGTCCAGCCTTGCAAGCCCCAAACCAAAAGCCTTTCTGGATCCATTTAAGAGAGGCACACAGCAACTCTTCTGTGCATGTAGCCTCACCTGAAGTTACTTACTCGCCATGTTTAAGGAGGGGAGAAATCAGAGTGAAAGAGTGGCAACCAAACATTCATAATGACTAAGGACGGTGAGTAATGAAGGGAGCATGGATCAGCGGGGCTGTGGTGGTCAGAGGTGGCTTTGTGAGAGTGGATCACAGAGTTTAGGGTGGGAGTTGGGCAGAGATGTGGGGAAGGAAGCATTTGCAGGCGGGAACCAGCATGAGCAACAGTCAAATATGGATACAGAGGAGAAGACTCCTGGAGGAGAGGGCTCAGGCATGCAAGAGCTTTGCAGGAGCAGGAATGCTTGGCGTCCTGGCAGAAGCAGGCTCATCATCCATTGTCACCCTTACTTTGTGCATCACTGTGTTGGTTCTGAAGCACATCAATTTTATGTATCATTTTGATCTCTATACCCTTGCCAGGTGAGCACCATAGATAATGTGGATTTTGTTTCATACAAATAGTTTAAAAAGGAGATTAAGAAAATTGGCCCAAGTCTCAGCTTGTGGCTAAGCACATTCACAGTCTAGATCTCTGTACTTCTTAATTCACACACCCAGGAATGCAAGGTGGCCTCAGAAGCTACATAGCCCAATTTCCCCATTTACAAATAAAGAAACTGAGGACCAAAGAGGTGAAGCAATTTTTCAAGATCACACAAAAGCAGAGTTTAGGAGGTTAGCCGGTAGCAACTTCAACCAGCCTTATTGCTGATAGAAGGTGCTCGGCATTATATTAGCTGGGGGGAAAACAGGGAGGAACTCATATTGCTGAGGAAGAACTATTACTTTGACAAAACAAAACATTTTCTAATGCTTAATAACTGTTGGGATAATATTATAGTATAGCTGCATTTTTAAAAATGAAAGTCTTTATCAACCAAAATTAAAAAGTTTTTTTAAGTGAAAAAAGTCTGAAAAGCAAGAAAGCTGCCCAAGGAGATGGGTCTATCTGGGCATGAAGACCTGCATAATTTATAGGAACACTTCAGAATTTTTTTCTGCCACTGATGAATTTTTAAGTCTTCATCAATCAGAGGAAAAAAAATTTTTAACTTAAAAATAAAAACAAAATAAAGGCCCCAAACTGATAGACTACGATCTCAGAATCTGTTAGCAAAGGATAATTAATATTTCCAGACAAGTACACCATTCAGATGACATGTTATTATAATTTTTTTTTTTTTCACACCAGAAATGACATGGCTTGAGAAATGACTTGCTGAGAAATCTGTGTTTACATTAGGGAGAGTGGGGGAAAAATCCCTTGCAGAAGTTGAAAAGATGTTAAGTGGTAAATACCAAAATGCCCAGCAAGCATATAAGCAGACTCTCATCCTAGCATGAATATGTGCAGCTCAGCGTTTTAAAATTTACTTTTAGCTTTTCTAGCAGTTTGAATTAACCCTTTCTCTACCTTCACTCCCTTTGTGAGAGTTCAGCTCTCAACCTGAAGATCTGGACTGGGGGCGCCGTCACCGGGCTCCACAAGTGAATGAAGCCCTCACCCTGACTGGTTTCCCACAAGTGGGCCACCTTATGAACAAATGTCTCCTAAACTTCCTTAGTATCCATTTAATGCCTAGGCAAACATTAGGAGGCAAGGCCAGCTTGCATAGATTTGGAAAAAGGCTGTTGGTAGTGCAAAACTATCCAAATCAATGTCACAATAAAGGTACATCTAGACCAGGGGTTCTCCAGGGAGTATGTGCATCAGAATCACTCCAGAGCTGCTGTTGCAGGTGGCCCCAGCATCTGTAGGTATAAAAGATCCTCAGGTGATCCCAAAGGACATCCCTCAGTGAAAGACACTAATCTAGATTCTCTAAAGAGCCATACTTTTGTCTTGGTTTCAGCCCCTAGTAAAGCGAAATGAAAAACAAAACAAGCAACCAAAACAGAAAATTCTTCCAGATTAGGTTTATCTTTATACTTTACTGGTTGTTAAAGTTATTTACAAACTGAGTGAATAACAATTACATACAAGGTGTGCATTTAAGAAACATTATACTTTACAATGTTTTCTCATGCATTAACAATCTCATGTGGTTCTCATGGCAGCCCTATGATGTAGCTTGTTATTCCCAAATTAAAGATGAAGAAAGTAAGTCTCAGGGGCATGAAGATTTGCTCAAGATCCTTCAGATAGTAGAGTAGAGCAGTTGTTGGTTTGACAAGAAGAGGGACAAAATGACTATTGTTTTATTACTATAGGAAAAAAGAATTTTTGATGTTTAAACATTTCCTATCCAGTTACTATGCCATACTTTGCTTGTAAAAACATATTATCTCACGATAAAATATTTATTGTTTTTTCTTTATTCTGTATCTATCTATGTACACACACACACACACACACACACACACACACACACACACACACGGAGGAAAACAGAAATAATCTATTGTTCCTGAGTTTGATTGTGGAAAAATAAGATAGGTCATATTTTTAACACTGATTTCAGGGACATGTAAATCCTGTATTTTAATTTCCATGCGCCTTACACTAAAATGAATAAACAAATACATTTCTCAATCAATCTCCATGTCAGAAAAAGGGAAAGGAAGTGCTTGGCCTAGAAAAAAATGACCATTAGTGCCCTAATGATGTCAGTATTTCTCGTATTACAGAATTAGATTCATTTTTTGCTATTTATAGCAAGTTGTATCTTTGAAGTGTTTTTTCTAAACATTCAGTATATCAAATACCAGTTGCTGCAGACATTTGCTTCCAAGGGAAAAATAATCCAAGTCAAATCTTGGTGAGATGAAATAATGCATAGCATTAGTCTTATTAAAACCAGGGCTGTACAGGTAAACTTCTGGCATGCTTCATGTTGCAAAATTTCTAAGCTCAATAGAAGAATCTGAAGAACAAAATAAAAGCCAAGAGAATAAAAGGTTAACTGAGCAGTAAAGACTTATTTCAGGAATATCAATACTAAAATAAAACCATCCACTACCTGTAATTGGGTGAGTACTACTTACAGCAAAGTAAAATGCTTCCTAAATGATAGGATATGGCACTTGTCAGAAAACTAAAAAACAAGTCAGGGTTCAGCTCACTAAAGAGGATAGCACATTTAACATCTGGTGGGGCCAGGACGGAGGAGCCTAACAGCAAAACATTAAATCCTGGCTTTTCTTTTTACCTTTGTCAATCAACATTCCCTTCATCCTGAGAGGTGGCCTTGGCATAACTCAGAGGTAGATTCAGCCCAACAACTGGCCCTACAATGCTCAGCCATGACGTGATGTAGTTGATGCTCCTAGAAAAACAAGGGAAAAACAGGCCATACGAACGTTTCCATTGTAGTCTTTGAATGAATGGTAGAAAATCAGACACGAGGCTTTCTTTAAAGACGTGTGCCCACCACTTGGAACCCCTGCGATTCTGAAGGCCAGCCCCTCGATTGCCCAGAGAGACTGTGAGGGTTCCTCACTAAGGTAGTGAAGGGAGGTAAGGCATTGCAGCTCCTGACTCCCCTTGATGGTTCTAGGTTCACAAGTAAGAGTCACAGCATTTACTAAGGTAGCAGAGTGCAGTGATTAAGAGCAGGGTTCTGAGGCAAAAATGCTCGGATTCGAATCCCAGTTCCACCCCTTAACCAGCTGTGTGATCTTAGCCAAGTCACTTAACTCCTCTGTACTTTAGCTCCCTCCCCTGTAAACTGGGTGAACTAATGATACTTAGCACATAGGGTGTTATAAAAATCTAGTGTGTTAATATATCTAAAACTCACCTAGCATATAGTAAAGATCGATAAGTGTTAGCCACTATCATCATTACAAAGAATATTTCTTTTTTAGTGTAGCTTTTAGAGTCACATAAAAAGATTTACACTGTTAAAATCAGAGTAGAAGCCAATGTGTCTTGATGGTGTTTCTTACCTATTGATTTTCTGAGAATTCTTTAATACAGGAGTCATGAATTCATTCGTCTTGCAGGGATGAAGCACAAAAAAGGGCTGCCCAAGGATTGGATGTTCCTGTAAGAATGAGAGTGGGTTCAGGACTGCCAGTGCAAATTACTTTGGAAAAATTAGAATAAATAATCTGGTTTACTCCTATAAAATAAAGGTTTGTTTTAAATTCCCAGTTATTAAATTAATATACAGGTCTATTTTCTATTTTGAATTATCATTTGGATCATTATCATAATCCAAACATGAGAAGAAGTTGATGAGAAGGAGCCATTCATTGACAAAGTAGTATAGTGGAGTACAGTATAGTAGGACGTGTAGTTTTGTTTACATGATACAAACTATAAATTTTATCAGTTCCCTCTGTTGGCCAGTATTTCTCTTTGGCCTATAATTATTATTCAGTTTTTCTTCAAGGATGTTCACAAAGCCCAGTAACTTGATCACCTGAACAGTGCATTTCAATTACCTCTTTGTCAATGTTAAAGGGACCAAAATTATTTGCTTATTTCTTTACACAAATTTTGTCAACATGCTGTTTCAGGCCTAACTGTGTCCAGGGCCAATGGACACATGTTCAGTTAGTAGAGGGGGAGGGGTATGGCCTTGTTCTCCTTTGGTCTCTGTCTGTCTCTTAGTTTCTCTTTTGCCTATTTATCTCCTTCTGTCTCCTCAATCCTATAGGGCTGTTTCTAAAAGTTAAGAGCCAATATAACTCCACTCGCTCCCTTTATAAAGGAGTAATTGGATATACGATATGGGTCAGTGTGCTCCCAGGTTAGGGATGAGGACATCGTTTAGCAAGCAATGGGGAGCCAGAGAAGGTGTCTAGATAATCCGTGTGCAAATGCTACCAACACAAAAACAATAATTGATGATAAATTTATATTTATCATTGTTTATATTGTGGGTTAACTATTATGCCAGGAACTGCCAACTCAAATGCCTATGAAGACCAGGAAGGTGACCTAAGAGGGTTAATGCCAGTTAAATATACCAGCAGGTTATGGGGACCACAGAGAACTGGAGAGTGGCCCATCTGAAGCCGTGCTTGCTACTCCAGCCAAACAAGCCATGTGGGAATGGAGGTTCAGCATGCCAGACCTTCCCATTTGTGAAAATAACCTAGAAAACCCAAAGTTTATGTAAAACCTCCTAAATTTAAATGTTGGTACAGTTTTTAAAAACATGGGGTAGGCCAAATAAAACAGGCTTCTAGGCTGGGTTTGGACTAGGGGCTGCCTCGCTTCTTCTCCTCTTAGCCAGCCCAAGGAGAAACTGGACTCAGAGCTGGTCACAGGAAGAATTATGTGGCTGTCCCTGCTGCCTCACCCCTTGGCCCCAAATGCTCATGTCTGCATGCATGTGCACATATCAGTGCATAAGAGCTGGGAGGGACAGTCCCACTGGTACTGGTGACACTGGGTGTGCAGGTTGGGGGTAGTGAGGGAGGAGTTATCCACTAGTTGCAGGTTTTTGTATGTATCTGGCATCTTTAGCACCACCTGGTATTTTTTCTTCCCTGAGTGCCACCTCCAGATGTCTCTGACCAGCTGCCTGATTGTTCTAGCAAGGCATCAGCTTCCTCTCTCCAGCTCTCTTCCCACCCTCATTCCCACCTGTAACTGGGCCCCGGCTCACAGCCCAAATGCGTTGTGCCTGTGTTAAATTCTCCTGTTCAACCTGATCTGGTTTTCCTTGAATGCCTTAAACTAAAATGTATTAATTCAACATGTATTTATAGATCATCTTTGATGTGTCTGCCAGGAACAGTTCCAGATATAGTTATACAGACTACTGCATCTCTAAGATAAACACTTAGATTTTAGTGCAGGAGATGCCAATAAACACATAGAACAAACAGACAAGATAATCCAGATAATAATAAATGCTATGAAGGAAACAAACAGGGTAACATGATTCTGGAGGGAGTGTCATGATGTTAGATTGGTGAAAGGGAAGGCCATGCTGGAGAGCCGGTGCAATGGATGGAATGTGGGCTCTCCCCCTTCCACCTCCCAATTCATATGTTTAAATCCTAGAAGGTATCAGGAGGTGGGGCCCTTGGGAGGTGATAAGGTCATGGGGGTGAAGCCCTCATGAAAGGATTAGTATCCTATTCAAAGGGACCCCAGGGAGCTTTATCATCCTTTTTCCATCATGTGAAGCCACAGTGAGAAGACAGCATCTAGGAAACAAGAAACAGGCCCTCACCTGACACTGAATCTGCCAGTACCCTGCCCCTGGATTACCCAACCTCCAGAACTGTGGGATATAAATGTTTATTGTTCAAGCCACCCAGTTTGTGGTACTTTTGCTATAGCAGCCTGACAAAACTAAGACAGGTAACATTTAATCAGAGATCAGAATGACAAGAAAAACACCAACCATGAAGATTTCTGGGGACAGAGTATTGAATCAGAAGACCCCAAGGGGAAATGAGCACAGGAAAAGTGCAGGGGAAATGCAAAAAAAATTTAAATGTAGTATAAATTCTTTTTGGATGGTGTACATAGTTACCAGTGGAAGGAATAAAGAGCTATAACCCAATCTTACTGATGTAAAGACACGTTACCTTCTTTACTAAAATGAATCCTAGGCCTCCAAGGCTGCATGGGATGGAAATGTTCATAATGAGGAGGATCAGCTCAATTTCGCAGCTTCTTCTCTCTCCAAGATTCACTCTCCTTTGGAGTTTCATACCCCAGAGAAGCACACACACTTACAGCTCAGGGATCATCTTCTCAGAGCAGACTTAGGACCATGTCACATCGGAGCTGCTCATTTGATGCTGCTAAGACTTGAACTTTACTTCTATAAGTCATCTTTTGCTCATTCCATACAGCAAGTGGGTAAGAGCATGCATGATTGTTTGGTATCAAAACCTGCTCCACTGCTTAGCAGCTGTGAGCTTTTGGGAGAACCACTTAACTATTTTATGTCTCTATTTCCTCATCTGATAACTGGGGCTAATCATAACATCTGCCTCATAGATTGATTGTGAACCTTCAATGAGATAATACCAGAAACATACATAGAACTGTGCCTGACACCACAAATGCATAGTTGGCTATTAGTATTCAACCCATCGATATCTAAAAAGACCAAGTAATAGCCAGACATATTCGGAACATGGTCTTATGGTACCCTATAATACAGCCCAATATCAATATTTAAAAACAAAAAGTTCCTATAGATTGTGTATTATGTTAAAAACATTATTGATTAGTGTTTAAGTGTTTAGAAATACCTGACAATTGATTATAACTGAAAGGAAAAGAAGTATGATTTAGTAAAAGGAAGAGATCTATATGACAACTAGAACTCTCAATATATTTGTATTCAGGTTTAAAGCCAAATTAATGGAAAATAATTTAAATGAATTTAAATTAAAATAAAAGCTTAGGCACTTCAAAAACACTTCAGTAATCTACAACATATTAATATTCATTTTTCCTCAAACAACATAAAAAAGTTATATTAGCATTTAAGGTTATGTTCTAATAAAATAAAATGCATGGTGATGCTCATGTGAAATACTTTTTAAAACAACTGAGACTTTCATGCTTTAGGAGAGCTTTTAGAATAGCTCGAGTATTTCTTTAATGCAGATTTAGCCATCTGAAAAAGAAATCTTTATCCTTTACTATATTGAAACTTTATATTTATATTGAATGACTATCTTTAAAAACCAAAAGTTCAAATTTAAATTGGATTTTAAAATAAAAATTATATTGTTTTGGTAAAATGCTTTTGGTTTAAAAGGATCAAACTACGATCTGTTGATCATCTTAAAATAAAAATTATAAGATATACTGATGTAATCTTTCAAGAAAAGTTTTATATATAAGTAACAATAGGAGTGGACTTCCAGCTGTAGCAGAATGAAGAGGTCAGCAAATCCTCTCCCCTGAAAATAAGTACAAAACTGAAGAAAATTGTAAAAAAACAAACCATTTCTGGGCTCTGGAAATCAACCAAGGGCAAAGAGAACCTCTGAGAAATGTTTAATTTGTGATAAGCTGCTAGAACTTCAAGTTAGAAACAGAGGGAATTTGCAGGCTTCTTGCCTAGAAATACTCCTATACTCCCTCCATCCCTCAACCCCATCTCCCACCCCAACCCCACCCCAACCCCAACCCCAGACTCCATCAACAGGGAAATTTTACCAGAGTACAGGTGACCATAAGAACCAATAACTAACTGTGCTGCCAGAGGGGCTGACTTGATTTCCAACAGATAGTGAAAACTACTGCTCAGCAACATTGCCAGTAAAAGCAGAAAAATAGGTACTCAATGAAAAGGCAAAAACCACAGCTTTGCAGGCCAGAGTTTGCAGTCCCAGTTGAGGCAAGCAGCACATCAGCCAGAAATTCAATGGGGAGATCCTGGAAATGAGACAGTCGCAGAAGGTCTAGGTAAGTTCTCCAGGCAATCCTGGTTGATGGGAAAGGGATGTGTAGGGAAGGCATGAGAAGATCTGATGGGAAGTAAAAGCTGAGGCCAACTTGAACAGTACCTGAATTTTGAGTGTGTTCCTAACCCACACATACATCTGTCAGCAAAAGAAGGAAGTCTTATAGGCTTAAGGTATTTGCCACAATCCCTGTCCAATTATTGGCTAACCCAAAAGCTATACAAACATAGCTGGACACCCTTGAGGAAGGCAAGCTAAAAAGTACAAATAAGAATAAAACAAAATAGCAGATACATTAGCAGCTACACTTACAGAGGAGAAAACTATGTAGATAAAACCTAGGAAAGTTACTAAAACAAACAAACAAAAACAATTGCAACAAGAAGAAAAAGACAGCCCTCAGGGAAAATACTGACATCCAGAATTGCTACAATATATTATATAAAATATCTAGTTTTCAAAGAAATTTTTGAGACATGCAAAGAAACCCCAAAGTGTGATGCCTACCTGTAGGGAAAATGTCATTAATAAAAACTGACCCTGGGCCGGACGTGGTGGCTCATGCCTGTAATCCTAGCACTCTGGGAGGCCGAGGTGGGTGGACTGCTCAAAGTCAGGAGTTAGAAACCAGCCAGAGTGAGACTCCGTC